TATATCATCTTGCACCACCACCAAAAAAAGCATTCAAAAAGAAAACAATATAAACTAAAAAAAAAAAAAGTGAGTCTTAAAAAATAGTTCTTGTCCAATCTTGCCTAAATCTTCGACATCTCTTCACAGTAATGGCTGATTAGCTTTTGTACAGATATTGTTCTGGCTAATTTAACATCAGGCATTTGAAGTGGGCGCACAGTGTAGCGGCCTTACAAGTGTGAACGTGGCTCATCCGTGAAGCCCTCTACCTGCAGGGCTCGTATAGCTGTAATCCCCCAACCTCCACAAACCTGTCCCCGCTTGTTCCTAATGGACTTGGCAACCACATTTGGCCTAACGTACCCACCACGCCAGCCCCCACTCTACATGTGCCATGGGTGGGCTATGGGGATTTGGGATTGGTGGCACTGCTCACGACGTCTTAGTAAGTCCTGTCTCGAACCAGGAACAAAAGCAGAAGTCGGTGCAAATTAAAGGCCAATTATCTTTTGTGCGTGCTGGGGCAGGCCGCTCATTTTGGGAGAAGTGAGAGGTACTCCGAAGGAGCTAGAAGCTTGTTGGTTACCGCAGTGCTAAAAATACTTATAGTATACTCCTCAATTATTTTTAATTACCAATTTGATGTATTATAACTACTTTTACTCTTCCACTACATACAACAACAAAGTCAGCTGCGTTATGCAACTTTAACTTTAACCATATGAGCTGCGGGTGGTTCATCGAGACGGGATAGGCCTTGTTAAATCAAAGCTATTGTTTTAACATGGTTTAAACTGTTTGTTTCCAAGACAAAAGCGACTGTTTTGTGCAACATCTTAAAGTTACAAATTGGCCACATATGAGAATGAGATTGGTTTAACTTTATCCACGTGGCATTAAATTCAATTACAAATACAAACACATTTCTTCTTTGTGGTCATACAAATGAGAATACAAAGAAAGTCTGTATTCAAAAAGTATTGTACAGAACATCCATACTACAATCACTGTATTTATAGTTGCTAGTGTAGCCATAGGTCTGACTCTAAATAGGCTAACTGAAGCTCTACCTCCCCTTCTGGGTGAAGTAATGGACTACTTGATTTTCAAACTTGGTCCAAATCTTAAACGGCCCATGTTACACTATTTTCCAATCTATGTTATAATGTTGTTTCCTCTTCAAAACATCCTGGAGTTGTGCTTTGTTTCAGTCACACGTTTAACTCACAAATCCTGGATATTTAGACTGAATTCTTCTTTCAAATGGAAAACACTCAGTTCCACCTTGTCATGTCATGTGGTAATACAGGAAGTGTTGCAATGTGTTTTTAAACTTTCACTAGAATCATTTGGATGATTTCAGTCCTGGAAATGCCAATCTCTACTGAAGAATAAGTAAAAGGTTGCTGGCAACTTGAAAACTGCCCCTACATGACATCACAAGGTGCAACAGAGCATTTTGAGCACTGGAGATGTAGACAGATTAATTATAAAGGGCTACTCAAACAATGAAATATGAATGAAACAAAACACAACTCCAGGTATGTTTTTGATGAGATAACAACATTCTAATTTGGGTTAAAGCTCAAGTCTATTTTGCATAATATAGGACCTTTAGTTGTTGTGAATTAATACTTTGTTTTCATCTGTTAAAATTTAGTTTTTGACACCAAATGGGATATTGTGGAGCTAGAGCAGAGTGGAGCTTCATTTCATACAGTGGCTTTCCAAACTCAGACCCCCTTTGGCAGCCCCTGAACCCCAGCTCACTGAATTCCAGAGGTGGGAAATTGATTAACACCTCCAGGTCGCTCAGGGGTCAAATGTTAAGCTCCCTCCCTTTTAATAATGAGTTTGCACAGTACTCTGACACTTCCACAACATCAACAAAGCTCGTTCTTCATGCCACTGCCTCTAGCCTGGAGATACACTCTAGGCTGCACTAGGCTATCAAGCACTGGCCAACCTGTTCATTAATTCCCCATTAGTCATGTGTTTCTTCTCGTCTGTCTTTCCAGGGAAATTGACTAAACCCACTATTAGTTTCAACAGACCCCCAAGACCACCCCCGCTCTGCTCACTAGGATAGTTTTCTGATTGCTTCCACTTTTATGGCTGTAGGTCTTTCTCCTTCTGAAGTGCTGGGTTCATAGCCTGCAGTTATCCTTCTCTTAATTGACACAGACATTCTTAACTGAGGAGTGTTTAATCACAACAAACAATCAGGGTTATTCAGGAGGAGGAGGGAGGTGATACAGTATCTCTGGTAGCAGCTGGAATGTGTTGGTTAAAGGTGCATGGAGGGTCCGTCAAATGGTCTTCTCCATGGAGATGTTATTGTGTTGTCTGGAATGTTTCACAGTATGATATTAAACCGTTCAATCTTTGTGGAGACCAAATCAGACCGAGTTACAGATCAGATCTGAGGAGAGGCAACCCTGCTCACAATAAGAATGGCAGTACTTTTGAGCTATAAAACAACAAACTGTAATTGAATAAATATAAGGTAGAGCTAGAGCTATTTAATGTCATACTGAGGAACATTCTAGGCAAAGCAATGTGCATAGAAACAAGCAGATGACGGATCCTCCACCAGAAAAGTTACACAATGCACCTTTAAAGTCATTTATGTAATCGCTTAATATGCAAAGATACACCGTTTTGCAGTCTGTTTATTAAAATATTTACTGCACCGATTCAGTATTGTTACTAGATCCACAAGCGTCCTTTTTGCATAATTTTTAAGTTTTAAAACTGAATTTCATCCACTCCTTAGTATTACATTACTTGATTAATGTCATGCTACTAATTTTAGTACCACCAGCTACCATGCAGACACAAATGAATGCTGGCAATGTGGGTGAAGTGTTGCCAAAAGACACACCAACAGCAGTATAACTATGCAGTGCAAATTTACTTGGCATAATGGTGTTTTATTACCTCCGCCAAGGAGGTTATGTTTTTGCCGGCGTTTGTCTGTTTGTTTGTTTGTTTGTCTTTTAGCAACATAACTCAAAAAGTTATGGACCGATTTTGATGACATTTTCAGGATTTGTTGGAAAAGGAAGAACTGATTTCATTTTGGGGGTGATCCGGAAGAAATCCTGGATTCTGGATCACTTTGAAATTTTAGTTAACATTGTGGTAAATGGGGCCAAAAATTTTGTTTCTCAATATATCGGTTAATCATTGACCAAACCCCATGAAATTTGACTCAGGGATGGACAATCGGATCCTCTTTCATATTCCAAAGGCTGATCCAGATCTGATCCAGAAGACTGATTTTATCGCAATTTATATAAAAATGGGGGTAGTCCTTGGCGGAGGTCTGCGCTCTCTGAGTGCTTTTCTAGTTCTATGCTGGGCCAGTCCCAAGCCTGGATTGATAAACAGTAATTTAATCAATAGAACGTTTCTCTTAATTGACCTTTAGATGACCTGCTCCTCTCCATGGAGATATTATTGCTTTGAATGAAATGTTTCACAGTATGGCATACATAGCTACATGTTTTTATTGGTAAAATACCTTCCAAAATACGCATTCTTACTGTAAGCAGGGTTGCCTCTCCACAGATCTGACATATTCATGAAGAAAAAAGCAAGTGGTGAACTGTACAGAAAATAGGCTCCAAAAATGAATTGCATATACTTGTACTGGTAGGAGTTTCCCACATGTCCTAAAATATTTTATTACACGTGGTTTCATAACACTAGAAAACACCCATGTAGTGACTTATAACTGTGAGCTGTCTTCACCCACTCCACTCATTTTATAATAACAGCAGTGAACATTTCCTTCCATCTGCCTAATCCAGAATCCAGAATAACCAAGTCCTGCCAAACTTTCCAAACCATTCATTTCACTGACACATCACTAGAATTGTAATAGAAACTTGAAACTTACGATGTCTCAGTTTTTCTCTGTTAAATCACATGTAATTACAGCTCATGTTGTTTTGCCCAGGCGCATTAGTTGAGTGCAGAGGTCAGCCAAAGATGACTAGATAAGACTGAAGGGGTTGTGCGTGCCTGTGGGTGTGGTATTGTGGCCTGGATAGACACTGGCTCTCTGGGCTTCACCAAGTTCAGGACTATGCCAACACTGTGGGCGTTCCAGCTACTGGTTTGAACCGGATTGTTTTTCACGAGTTCGCTGATGGATTAACCCTTCACTCATGAAGTGTTTTTGTCATTTACAGAAAAGGTGAATCATACGCAGGTTGAATAGGTTTAGGATTTAAAACATGTATGGACAAAGTCACAAATTATCGGAAATAGTTTCTATTTATTTATTGCACATTTTTAAAGATTTCAGTCTCTTTTTAATACATGGTCTATTACTTAGGCACCTTCTAGTTCTTGGACAATTATAACTTCTTATATCCATTAAAGTAACATTGTGTAACTTTATGGCAATGGCACAGCGCCTGCATGATTCCATGAAAGCTGAAACTGTCCATGAAGATAGATGCTTTGAAGTTCTATAGCCAACGCAACACTATTTCCATGGAAACAAGCAGGTGAACGCGATCCAAGAGTCAGGTTTGTGGAGAATGCAAGTCCACTCAAAGTGAGGATGCATATTTTTAGAGATTTTCAGTACAATAAAAAAAATCCCAAATATAAAAAACATAATTTTTCTGTCTACATTTTGGCTAAAAATTACATGGTGAGCCTTAAACCTACAAATCTCTTATACTTTTTTATTCTCTTTTATAATCTCTTTTACTGCACAAAACTGCACATCATTTGTTATAGGCACAGATTTATTTTTTTTTCTTTCCCGCTATCTTAGATGACTCATACTAAGCACATACATGGTAACAGTCCACTTTGCAAACAAGGCACTCCACTGTCCTATGTTGTCCTACTTACTCTAAAGATATCTGTAGGAAACTTCAACAGTAATGCAATGCAGACTTTGACCAGCAAATATTGACTCGAATGTGTTGAAAATCGTGTGAATGCTCCCACTGAAGTGAACCACATCTTTGTCTGTGTTTGGCTCTATTTGACAGGCCTGACCCAGAGTCAAGATGGAGGAGGGATACGAACTTGACCTGACTTATATCACAGAGAGGATCATCGCCGTGTCCTTCCCGAGAGGGTGCTCTGAGGAAATCTACGCCCACAACCTCAAAGATGTCACCCGGATGCTCAAGTCCAAACACGCCGATAATTACCTGGTCAGTGTCCAACCCAAACTGCACTCACTGTCAGAACTCAGAGGGTCATGGGGTAGTTTTCAGGGAATTTCAAATGGAGATCTTTATCTGTTGAAAGTCGTTTGATTATGATAAATGTGCAGCTAAAGGCAAAACTTAACATCTGTGTTTCTGTTAGATTATCAACCTATCAGAGAGGAGGAGTGATCTGTCCAGAATGAACCCCAAGGTATGTAAAATGGTAAAACCGCTAATTGAATATGCTGAGATATGTTGAATTATTATTATTTCTACATTATCATCAATTGATTTGTTGTTATAAGTGCTTTGTAAAATATAAAAGAACATATACATATACATATATCAGTTTTACAATTTATAGTGAATGTTACATTTTGGTGCAGTGTTTAATATCCATCCAAAAGTTCATATTCATTTGACAAAACTAAACAAACATTTTCTTTCTTTTTTTTCTTTTTATTTGCTTATTTACAACATCATTTAATATTTTTTTTCTTTTCTTTTTTTTTATCTTTAAGACACTAGACACTGGTTGGCCAGATCAACACGCTCCACCTCTGGACAAGATCTGTACCATCTGCAAGGCCATGGAGGGCTGGCTGAATGCAGACCCTCTCCATGTGGTGGTTATACATTGCAGGGTAAGTTAGAACAAGGATTCAGGTTCTGCAATAACAAAAGTATTTTTCCTGGGCTTAGATACTGTAACTCTATATGAGATGAATCATATCCTGGTATTGTGTCTTCTTCAGGGTGGAAAGGGGCGCATTGGTGTAGTCATATCATCATTTGTCCACTTCACGGATGTGTCAGCCAGGTAACCACAATGTTTTCAATGTTTTCAATGTTTTTGTGATACTAAAATGAGATGATGGGTTTTAAAGACTCTGTACCTGATTTTTACTGTTTCAAATTGCAAAAAGCTCCACTAGTTCTGTTTAAATGGTTTGCAGTGGTCCACTTACCTTATGCATTTTGGGCATCGTAATTTTACACAGGAATGAGTTTATAAGCGCTTTTTATAACACAGTAATGCTAACAGCAACTAGCATGCTAAGCACACACTTCCTGATTCCCTGACAATAAAACAATATTTAGTCATTTCTAATAGTCTGTGTTATGCTTGGATCAGTTTTAATCGAGGGGTCTACAGCCAATCACCTGTCACTATAAGCATGTGGTTTTGAGCGGAGTTAAAAATTTGGAGGAAGAAATTGAAATGTTTTGTGTTGGCAGTGATTAAAAGTCTTATTGTTTATGTTCAGGAAATTAATATCGAAAGCCATTTTTAAGCAAGACAAAACAAAATCAAATTGGAAATTGCAAAAACATTTTGATAAATGTGTTGTCATACTGCCCAGCACTACTTTGTTTATAAGAATATCCTAGCAACCCTCAGCATTTCTGAAGACTCATTTCAGCGACCACAAGCAAAGTCATTGTGTAACCACGTCAGATTTATTTACCCCTCTTAATTTTGGGTCAAGGTGACTCAGAGTGAGCCTTTGAAATCCAGAGAAACCACAAACTATGGGCCATGAATCATCCTGTATAGAATTTCATGAATAAACATGAAAACATGCGACTTACTGTAAGCGCTCCTGGCCACAGTGTCAGTGTCACGGACTCTATTCATCTTTTGAGAAAACCTATTCCGATTCTCTGGGCATTGTGTTTCAACTTAATTTAATATGGCTGCTGCAGATTTTCAAAGCCTTAAAGTCACAATAGCAAAGGTATCCATGCCATATTGTTTTGCTATCAAATGCATAAACAGTTGCTAGAATTAGAGATTGATTTTATTTAATTTTTTTAATGAATGATGCTGATACTGAGTGTTTAGAGTCCAGTGAAACCTATGACCGATAACATCTGCAGATATTTTAGTCTGATATGTAGGATCAATTTTGATTATTTTCTCCAAATTCTGTAATTTAAATTTACTATAAACTTACACAAACCCCACAGCCCTTTTTTTTTTTTACCACAAAAGGAGTTGTGTAGTAACGTGTAAAGTTGTCTTTTTGTAGTAAAAAGTTCAAATAAAGCTTTATACTAATTCTTTTGGCAGCAGGTGAGCTAAAACAAAATATCAGCCTGTGCTGGCAATTTAACGCCAATAGTTGATACACAAAGTACAAATATCAGTCTATCTCTAATTAGAATTAACATAATTATATTAATATTGAGTTTTTCAAATTGCCAGGCTTCTACATTACAGCCTACTTTTTTGTATGTAGTGAAATTAGTTGCAATATTTGACTGTAATGAAGGACTTTAACTATATATCTCAAACAGTTTTTTTTTTTATATTACCCAAATAATGTAACCATCAACCAACTATCTTGAGTTATGATTCATTTTTGGAGGAAGTTAAGAACTAAACTTTGATTCTTTTTTATACACTCAGTGGAAAGTTAATCAAATACATGGGGGTAATGGATACAGGCTTTTTTTAAGTAAAGAAAACCAAAGGAGTAATAGTTTTGGATATCTTCTTCTACTTGTAACATTATTTGTAAGACACAGTATAAATCCTTAGGCTATGTTAGTATCAATCACCATTCAAACAAAATGTCCACTGCATCCTTCCTAATCCCTTAAGTCACAACATGTAGCAAACATTCGGAGTGAAGACCTTGTGAGTTGCCACTATGTAGATCCCTCCAACACAAAGCAATCATTGTGCCCTTACAATACACACTCTGCCACATCGAGCCTAACCAACCAACCAACCAACTTCCCCTGTTGCTTTTTCCCGCTGAGAATAACGGGGTCGAGAAGGTGAACGTGAAAGCAAGAGGTAGGGGAAGAGATAGCAAAACAATGAGGTGAACTTTGAATGGAGGAAGAGACCAGCAGACCCGTAATGAAAAGGCCTTGTTGGTTTTAGGGTTGTCTGAATAGGCTAGCTGAGCACACACTACCGCCTCCATCTGACCCCCATCGCTGTTTGCTTAAATCTAGCATTCTCTTCCTCTCCGCTGGACGCCTTTGTCTCCCCACTTACTTTCACTCTTGTATGCATGAGCTTGTCTATGTAGTTGCGATTCAAGATGGTGTTAAAGGTGCTGTATCTGTTTTGTACTGTCTTTAAAAAAACGTGAAAAACAGAACTAGTTAAATGGTTAAGTGGCAGTTTTCTTCGGTCTCCCCTTGTGCACTCACAGTATCCTAATTATTCATCACAATTAGTTTATTAACTCTTTTCACAGCTTTGAGAGGACAGAGTGGAGTTTTGTTATGGTCATGGATGGTAAAGATGACATGACAACTAGCATGCTAATGACACACTTAGACTTAGATAAACTTTATTGGTCCACAAGGGAATTTATTTAGATACAGTAGCTCCCATGTCACAATATATTATAATAACAAAGATTAGAAATATAAATGGTAATGGCAAATTCAAAACAGTAGCAAAAAATAGCAAGACACTGGTGTCAAATAAGGGATGCAATGCAAATATACATCTGCCTATATGTATATTATATCTATTTCCTTCCTGTTCATACTGCCATATTTATTTGTATATATTCACTACAGTCTACACTGTATTGTTTATTTGTATATACTGCGCACACTGTATATATCACTTACTGGTCCTTGCCCTTCTGATTAGATGCTATACCACATTTCGTTACCTTGTATTTATACATGTGTAATGACAATAAAGTTGAATCTAATCTAATCTAATATTTTGGCTATATACAAGAGGTCGTTGTGAGAGTGAGATGTTGTACAGTTGTATGGCGTATGCTAAGAATGTAGTCCTTTATTTCAGTGTTTCTCAAACTTTTTCCTGGGGACCCATATTTTAAAAGTCACAAACCTTCGTGACCCAAGTCAATAGAAATTATTCGTAAATCACAAAATAAAGGTGGATGTGACCATTATTATTGAATATTAATGAGGATATTTTATTGTTGATTGAGTGACCGTGTCTCTCTGCATTATTCAAGTTTTAAACAATGAAAAACATTGAATCAGCGATAAAAAGGTATCCATAAGTTGCCGATTTAGACATTAAATGTAGCCCTGTATATTGCAGACCTACATGCAGATTGTGACATGGTGACTCAAAAAAAAAAAAAAAAAAAAAAATCTCATGCACAGGGTACAGTCCCTTTAACTGTAACACTGTATTTTATTTTACATATGCATCTATTGTCTATAACGTGAATGAGCAAAATGTGAAATGTGGGACCAACTGCTCAAACTGCAAAACAAATTTACCTATGGGTACAAATAAAGCAACCTAACCTAACTTAACCTAACCCTAAATGCACATACATTACAGTAATTACCCTAACACTGTCTCTCTCTCTTCCGAAGTGCTGACCAGGCGTTGGACCGCTTTGCCATGAGGAAATACTACGATGATAAGGTCTTGGCGCTGATGACACCCTCGCAAAAACGGTAAGCACCCAAAACATGCGCACGCCCTGGTTGTTTATCTAGGTAAGCTGTTGTTTGACCGGGCCACTGTACTGTAGCCTCCATTCACAAGTTCTTTTTTTTTTGTGGTGTCACACCTGATTCAATACAAAGGCTTCTATGTTGTTTACATGTGTTTAACCGACTTTCTGTTGGTAATTGTAGTACTTAAGAGGCCCCTCGGTGACAATTGACATCCTAACCAAGTTGTGTTCTTATCATATGTTAAACAACTAGAAAAGAACTGTGAGAACAGAAGACAATACTATAATAAACACTCATACTATAGTAATTGTAGGTAGTAGTGGGTTAATATTACCAAACATCACTTTAATGCTTTAAGATAGTCTCACAATAGCAAACAGTGAAAGGGTAGGCTGATTAAAACTGATGCAAGTGATGGCATTTTGAAATGACGTAAATGTAAGATGACAACGTAAATTTTTTAAATAAAGCATTTTAATGGCACACAGATTTCTTAAACTACTAACTGAAACATTTTACCTAGTTTGACCTTTATCGGTGGTTCTCAAACTGTGGTGTGTACCATTGGTGGTATATAGGCTTATTCTGGTGGTATACAGGGATTCCTCTGCACTTACAATGTTTACTGAATTAGAATCAAGCTAATTCTTCTTGTTCTTATGTGGATTAGTCCTTGTTTAAAACTGGTAAAGCAGTAATGCATTTCAGGCCTAGTCTAGACCTAGTTTTAAGACTTTGAATAATGTTTTAGACCTCAATTCAATCTGGTTGTGCTCTGAAATCTTTTTTTTTTTTTTAAGTGGTACTTCGAGTAAAGTTTGTCCTATATTATGCAAAATTAACTCTTGTGAAGTTTAAGCCATGTTAGAATGTTATGACCTCATTGAAAATCTATTTAGAGTTGTGTTTTGTTTGATTCACACATGTTTGAGTAACCCTTTAGTATTTGTCTATATCTCCAAAATCCTCTGTTCCACCTTGTGATGTCATGCAGTGTTAGTTTGCAAGTCAACAGCTGCCTTTTGCTTTTAGTTCAGTACAGATGGGCAATTCCTGAGCTAAAATATTATTCTAGTGAAGCTGTACTGAGTTTTAAAACGCAGTGGGGCACTTCCTGAATGATCACATAAAATGGAACCGAGTGTTTTCCATGTGAGAGAAGAGCTTAGCCAAGATATGCAGGATTTGTGTGTTAAACATATGTGTATGAAATAAAACACAGCTCTGGGTATGTTTTTGGGGAGGAAACGACGTTATAACATGCAGTAGATAAGAAAATGACATTATATGGGCCCTTTAAAATGTATGTAGCCGTTTTGAACTTTGGAAATGACTTTATGTAATTCATTGTTTTCCTCCTCTCCAGATACGTTTGGATACTCAACAGCCTCTTGAGTGGTTCGATGAAGATCAACGCCTCCCCGCTGTTCCTACATTGCATTATCCTTCATGGAATACCCAACTTTGACGCAGCCGGAGGTGAAACTTGTAGCTATTTACTGTAGCTCTGTTGACTACACAGCTAACAGTTTGCAGCCAAAATACTGGGACTGGCGCTGTTTGAGAAGCCAGACGTGACCACATCAGAGGAGTAAACAAGATGGGGACTTATCTTAGCTCTGTGTCTCTCACACACACATGTACAGGAGGATTACATAAACGCTACTGAAGTCTTCACTGTGGCTTTCCATTAAAACCTATGGAAACTCCCACCCATGACAGCTAGTAAATAAGAATTTTCTCAAGTTGGTTCTCAAAACAAGAGCTCTTTTGTATTAGCTCGCTGTGTACACAATATTACAACATTGGCAAATTTCCCACATACAAGATTTGTGAAGTTGTATTTATTTTTCTTTTCAGTGTGTCGACCATATATCAAAGTGTACCAGGGGATGCAGGCAGTTTATTCATCTGCAATCTAGTAAGTAAATAAAAGTTATTATGTAAAAGGGGGCTTACAGTAATTTCCATTCAAAACACTGTGAATAGTGAATGTCTCATGTATATTTTTAAGACTGAAGTTTAACAAAATTTGCATGAAAAACAGCTTTGCAGGTTAAGTTATTCCTCACTTTATAAATTCAGAGATTTCTAATCATTAACTGTGGTTAGTTTTTAAATTGTTTTCACAACTTTCAGAGACCAGAGTGGAGTTTTGATATCATGCTAATGCTAACAGCAACTAGCAACAACAATGCTAACAACAACTAACTTCTCTGACGATATAACGCTATAACGCTATAATTAGATGTAGACAACAGACTTATTTTGACCTCAAGAGCTGATTATATAATATATTTGTACGGTGGGTAGAAACATTTTGCTCAAATACATGTTTATATCCTTGGAGAAGTTAATGCTTTGCCTGAAATGTTCCAGAGTATTGCCTTAAACTTAACTTGCGTTTATTTAATCACAGGGGATTTTAACATTTTGCTCAAATAGATGCTTATATCCATGGAGAAGTTATTACTTTGCCTGAAATGTTCTACAGTATTGCATTAAACTGATTATTGTCTTGAAAAACATGCATTTTAAGAGCACTTATTCACAGATCTGACCTGTAACTTGTCCCCATAGTGTCACATGCTTGACTCCACAAAGATGGATATTTAATGTCATACTATGAGACATTTCAGCAGTAGCATTTCCATGGAGACAAGCAGACAATCTTCTATTAGAAAAGATACACAGTGTACCTTCAACACATTTCATTCTGTATTTAATTGTGTACTTTCTGTTCCCAGTCATATCGGCCCAAGCCACAGGGATAGAGTTTGTATTGCCCTAGAACCGGCTCAGCTTCTAAAAGGCGATATCATGGTAAAAACACATTCTCACATTTGACTTATATAATATTATTATAGATTATATTTGCATATTAATAACTGTATTGTTTACTTTTTCAGATCAAGTGCTACCACAAAAGTGAAATTCCCTCTGAACGTGAGGTTATATTCCGACTACAGTTCCACACAGGGGCTGTGCAGGGTTATAATCTCATGTTTGAAAAGGAGGATATGGAGAACGCTAATAAAGGTACTCCCATTCAGACATTCAATGCATTTACAAACCTTGAATATAAACACTGATTGATTTAAACACACAGTTTAATGGATAACAGTACATTGTTCTATAATTTTATCATTTGGTGATTAAGTTCAGTAAATTTCACTCATAAAAAATCAATAATGGAAAGTTAAAGACAAAAAAAATAATGATCTGCCACATTTCTCAACAACGAGATTTTTTTTAAAAATTGGAAATAAAATGCTTTTTTAATGTCCTTGTCATCTTGTTAGGTAGGGTTGTCAAATAAATTGATACTCACATACTAAATGATCCTAAAACTAATTTAAATACTAAATAAATGTAGACACTGAAAAAAGTATAGGACCTTTGCTGAAAAATTTTAAAAGAATTATAATTAGGGCCAGCCTTAATTTTATGTTAGCACTAGGGCTGGGGATCATTAAGAAGTTGCCGATACGATACATACCTCAATACATAGGTCACGATACTATACATATTTTGATACAGTGTGCTTTTGATTCAATGCGATATATTTCAAATCGATTCGAAAAATAATACTTTTGGCAATATATCGATACAGCAGCCCACGATGTCGATCACATTAAATGATATGATATATCAATATTTCAATATTTATGCTCACCCCTAGTTAGCACCACATAGAAATATTAAAGTTGCATGTTATTGTCAAAAAAGTGTTATATTTGTCTTACAGAAATGTACATTGTGTATCAAGCATTTTCCTTTTTGAATGTAGTTTGGAATTTTAGAATTATGACAGGTGCAACTAAACCACTGGAGTTGACCATACAAAGCCAGACTACTATCTGCATAACCTTACATTCATTCTCAAGTGGCTATTGAATCAGAATCCCTTGTTAATTTGCATGTCTTTGAACAGCTAGTTAAAGTTCACATGCTCAAAATGTTAAGCAAGTTTACCAGTTATAAAACATCATCTGTCTTCTAGATCCAAGATTTCCGGACTACGGTAAAGTGGAACTAGTTTTCTCCGAGGGACCAGAGAGGATCCCAGGTAGGTTTGCTTACATTGGGGTGATTGAAAGGGGGAACATCGGGTTTTGGCCTTGGCCCCTGGGTGCTGTCCTATGTCACCCCTCCCCCTCCCTCCCCCGGTGAGAGGGGATGTGGAATGCAGCAGACGAGTAAATGTAGTGTGAAGTGTGTGCTGACAGACTGGGCAAAGACTCAGCATGGCCTCGGGTCTGGCTCCACGGGAGGGAAAGTATTTTCCTTGCATTGCATATGTGGTTTGGACTGAAAAAGTGTCTAGCTCAAGAGCACAGCAACAGGATGCGAGGCTGCTAAGAAAAATTTAACTACCAATCTGCTGAGAAATTAATGCCACTTGTGTTACTAAGAAAACTTATTATAGTGGCCTATTAAAAGCCATAAGACCCCTGTGTGTTGCCTGCATCCAATTATAAAGCACTTTATCCTTTGAGAACCACAAAGTGCACTGTTGGCATGCTAATGTTTGTTAGTATTACCATGACGGCTGAACTCCACTCTGGCCTAAAAAACTTGGCTATAAACTCGTCTTGGTCAATAATTAGTATGCTTTCACAATGAGTTAGTGAGGAAATTTAAGAATAAAACGTGAAAAACAGAACATTCAAGTTTTAAAAGTTACAGCACCTTTAATGTAGACATACTTCAATCCCTCTATCATGTCAGTTGCGCTTGAATGTTGCTCAAAATTTTATAATGGTGCCTCAAACTGTTTTTTTTTTCTTTTACATTGCTCTTTTTTTCATTTATTTTCCTAGCTCTATTCATCCTCCCACTCAGTAATTTCAGTCACTGCTATTTACCACAGCTGTAATGGAAATTGGATTTAAATTGGCCACAGCAAAAGCAGTTTAAATCCTAAATATAACATACTTAAGATGGCTGAAATTCCATTGTAACTCTCCGATTACTTTCTCAACAATACCAGCTTACAGTGCCTTTGCTCCTTCCTGTGTATCTATATACAGTAGCTACTCTAATGTTGCTTTTTGGCTCCAGGTGCCGACAGGTGGCAGAATGGGGCAGATGTTATTGTTGACTACAACACCACAGATCCTCTCACGCGCTGGGACTCCTACCAAAACATCTGTGACCTGGAAGGTACTGTCACTATACTGCAATATTCATAACTGCTACATGCATCATATATACACACACGACTCATTCTGTGTATTAAAAGTAGTTGCTGTAAAACGGGCCAGAATATGTATTGTTTTAAAGGCCCCATATTACGCAAAATGCACTCATGTTATAATGTATAATTCTGCAAAAACATCCCTGGGGTTCTGTTTTGTTTCATTCACACATGTTGAGTAATCCTTTATTGTTAGTCTGTCTACCTTATAATGTCATGAAGTGGTAGTTTTCAAGTTAACAGCTACCTTTTAACTTTTGTTCAGTAAAGATTGGCAGTTCCAGATTTTCAATTATACAAATGATTCTTCTGAAGGTGTATGTGTTTAAAAACACAGTGGAGCACTTCCTGTATTACCATATGACATCACAAGGTGGAACAGCGTGTTTTCTGTTTGAGAGAAAAAGGGATTGTGAGTTAAACCTCTGTCAATGAAACAAAACACAACTCCAGGTATGTCTGTGATGTGGAAACAACATTATAACATAGATAAGAAAATAAAGTGTATGGGCCCATTAAGGTCAATTACGTAACTTTTCTGGGTATCCCACATGCTCGACTCCATGGAGATAACATTACATTGCCTTAAATGTTCCATAGTATAATATTAAACTTGCCTTTCTTGCATTTGTTGAAAAACATCTATTCTTATTGTCGGGGGGGGGGTTGTCTCTCCACTGATCTGACATGTAACTTGGCCCGATGGCTCCACGGAGATACATAGATACACTATAATGCCATACTGTGGAACATTTTAGGTAAACAATACTATCTCCATGGAGAAAAGCAGAAGGCAGACCCTCCATAGTGCGTCTTTAATATATGATATAAGTATTTATTAGAATTATAATTGCATTGCTCTATTTAGGCTCATAAAAACTGCAATCTTGTTTGATTACCAGACAACATGGGGATGTATGTAGGCGCTATCTGGTCCTACTACTGCGAGGAGAGTCATAACACTGTTGCATATTGCAAATACTGAAGCAATTGTCTTGATTTTTACTGGTTAAATACTAAACTGTCAACAACTACATACGGCATGCAAAGACAATAGTGTTCAAAATCTTACCAAATCTGGGGTAAATTTGTTGTCATGGCAGCAGAGAACTACTAAAGAATACTTTTCAGTTGTTTTGTTTTTTTTCAGTTGTAATAAAAAAATAGGAACAAAGCTTTGGGACATTATTGCAGGATTGTCTTTCTTTTGTGGCTTTTGTTGTATCCAATAATGAGAGAAATGGCCTTTAGTTTTAAAGCAAATTGAACTTGAAGCGCAGAGGTTTTAGCACCAGGCCTGCACAGTCAAAGGAATGCTGGACTCAGACTGCAGCAGTTGGTTCTCAGGACATGTCTATTTTGTTGTTTCTTTAAATAAAAAGGCAGGCTTTAAACCATCCCATGTAGTCACACTCTCTCTCACACACACACTCATTCTCCTTTAGGGTTTCTAGGCTTCTTGGGGACGATACATTGACGTACATTTATTTGCTGGAGTCTGATCCTAGCCTTAATCATAGTTATTACTTTGCTAACCTTGAATCCTTCTAGTGGAGCATCTGCTACGTGATTATCACCATAGATAAGTAAATGGTCAAATGGTCAAACATTACATAGTGTAACTTAAACCCTAACCTTAACCGATTTCTACCCACAGCTAATCTAATAATATCTAATAGTAAAGGATTGACGACATGGGAAACTGATTTTTGTGCCCATAAGGGAGTCAGGTCCGCGGTAGGCAATAAATACTCACACACACATACTAGTCTCAGTGCCTAAGAGCCACCCTGCCGGGCCCTCACGTCCCCATTGCGGTCTCCTCTCTCCACTCAACCACACAATTCACAACAGCCTCCCAGAATAGAGCCCGATCCACCCTTTCCCACTATCCATTCACTAGTTTTACAATTTGTTTGGATGGAATTGAACTGCAATTTTTTTTTCTTTTTGTATGTCTAATTGCGCTACTAAAACTTTCAAGCACCAATTTGGGGAATCAAAGAAGATAAAACACAAACGAAAAAACAGCCATTTCTTTCTTCCAGGCTTTCGGAAGCATTCATGTGGGATATTTACAGCACTGTGTTGTCATGTAAACTCAACATCTGAGAGGAAAGAGACAGAGGAGCTTAGTTCAAATTCTACATCTACTTACCAGTCCCTCAGAGGAGCTGTCCGTCACAGTGGAGGAAGTCTTTACCACTATAGTGCTAAAGTTGTGAAAAGAAAACTTAATTTACTTCAATGGCTTTCCTTAACGGTGTGTGCTTATCCCGTTGTGTGAATAGAAGGCAGAGATTTTCCAGACTGGGTGTTGTTTTGGGTTTATTGTCAACCAGATCTCAGCGGTTGTTTAATTTAGTTAGGGAGTGAAAATAAAATGTTGTAAACATTTATAGGGCTGTGTTTTGAGACATTCCTGAATCATTTCAAAGGCTAAGTATATTTGCCTTGTTCTGATTACCAGTTGCATTGTGTAAATGTTAGGGGTGTAACAATATCCAAGTCTCACGATAAGATATCGCCACAGTATGAACCTCACGGTACGATATTTATTGCGATATTGTGGGAAAGCTCACAATGGGTGGTGGGGAGGCTCACGATTATGAATGTAACAATATCCAAATCTCTTGGTATATTTTCACAATATACATCTCACAGTACCATAGTTATTGCAATATTTTGTGGAGGCTAACAAAACTGTTAATATGCTACTTTTTCCTCTTAAAATGCCTTGACAAGACTTAATCCAAAAAACTAAGTCTTAAAAGTGCTTAGAACTGTTATTTCTTCTTGTAGTCTACACTGAAATGGAGCAAAGGATCATGGTCTATGTAGCTCTCTCTGTCTTTTTTAGCTATTGCTGCATCATAACTCTTAATTTAAGCAAAGAGACTTGGAATTTGATATATTGTGATGGTCCACGATATTATTGTGAGAACTTTGATGATACGATTTCACAATATTTCTTTTATTGTTATATCCCTAGTAAATGTTAAAGGTTCTAAGACTGACTTTTTTTTTTCTAAGACATTTAGAAGCGCTCTGCACAACTGCAAAATTTAGCTGTAATTGTAATGCTTGCAACAACTACCATGCTAACGACACACTCCCTGATTCTTGGACAAGACGGTGCTTTATAAGACCGCACACAGGAGACAGATTTTTAAACTATGTGTTGCTTGTACAATGCGTCTATACTGGGGCAAGGCAAATTATGTTCTTTTTGCAGATTGTGAATTACTTAGTTAAAATATATATTTTTTATTTTAAAGTTGAAAATTACAACATTGCTCAAAAATGTCAACATTTATTATTTGGGTTAGTGAAACCCCTCAGTAATTTCCATGGCATCCCAGAATACATTTTACCCCCATAATTGTATTCTCCTATTGGAAAACAACTCATAAAATCAACAACATAGCCTCAGTTTCGATATATCATTTCAGCAGCATATAAAACTGTAATTGCTCAAAATCCACTTCAAAAGCCAATAATGGATAATGATTCTCAGATAGCTATGGGAAATAGTTGTAATACTAGGATAGTTTCTGCCACTGCCAGTATTGGTGAGATGCTCTCCTAGAGGAAATGTGTAATTCATAGTTTGGAAACCTCAAATGGATGAGTGCTGGCTCCATAACTGTTACTGAAGGCAGCCTGGGAAATGGATGTTGAGTTTTCATATTCAAAACACATGATTAAAATGTTCAGGGCGACAGTTACAGATTTGGTGATTGCTGTTTTGTTTCAACCAAAAAAAAGACCTCAAATCTAAATAAAAACAGACCAGATTTTAGATCACAAAAGAACCAAAAATGGATTGAGTTAAAAGTGGTTGCATTTCCATTTCATCACAGCAAAAGTAGGGCATGCTTTTTTAATTTTAAGTTCAAGTTAAGTTTAAAAAAAAAAAAAAAAAAAAGCAGAACTAGTCCATTTCAAACAGTTTGTGTGGTTTAAAGTTATTCCTCTTTTACCTTATGCATTCAGAGTTTTTAATCAAAGTATTTCAAAAAACTTATAGTCATTACTTTATCAATAAAAGTAATGCTATTTTCACTTTTTTATTATTTATTTACAGGTTTCAGCTTCCTGTTATATGCAACATTTTGAGGACTTTTTCTTAAAGATATAATATTTAGTTTTAAATTGTTATCTCACAGTGGTCATCATTTTTCATCTTTCTGAATCCTGTGAATAAAAGGGAGAGAATGATAATGTTATGCTGTCATTGGCAGTATTTCTGGGTAAATTGTACTACATAAATAACTATTAGTCCCACAGTGAGTGAATTCTAGTGTTGCAACAGCGAAGTATAATCAGAATAGCGCAAGAAGAGAAATGTCAACAAGTAACCAAAAGTATTAAAATTAAAGTAATAGTTTTGAGCTTTGTAGTGAGTTGAGATAAAGTTATTGCATTTTTTCCTCATATATTCAACCATACGAGGATATAACTAGGGTAATTATTTTGACAGGTTAAACAACAGTCCTCATCTCGACCTCCTGTGATACTAGAGCAGTTAGCACCTTCTCCAATTTCACGTCTTTCTACTCTGTAATTGGCCGATTATCCAGGGCCGTGACCGCACCACTGCCGTATAAAAGCATTGACTCATTCTCCCAAGTTCACTATTAGGAACATTCTTGGTTAACCATTCGCAGCTTTTGTTAATCTTTGTGTATTCCCCCATAGAACAATTGAAGAACAGAGTTACGGTGAGGGGAGCACATCTGTTTTGTTGCTGATAATGCAAGGCTGAAGAGAGAGAGGGAGAGAGACGTGTAATTTCATGACACACAAGTTGGGGCAAAAGCACACCTTCACCGCCTCTTGCCAAGCTCTTCAAGTAAAAGGCAAAAATTGGTCTAATTAAAAAAACGACTTAAAAGCTTGGAGGTACAGGAATGTTGTTTTCATTCTCTGCGCCGCCCCATTTCTTTCTATTCTACTTTTTTTTCCTCCCAAGTGGGGTAGTCCCTCGAATCGGGGCAAGAGGTCGGGTTACTTGCTTCCCCCTCGCTCCGCCCCCTCGCTTAAGCCCCGCCCCACTTGTTTACATTCCTCTGTCCTTATATGGTAGTCTCAAGGCCCCCCCTTTTTGTGCAAATACTCTCACCTTCTCCGAAAGAAAGAAGGAGCAGAGGCCAAACTTCTTCCGAAGAGTTGACCCTCACCACTATCCACTCAGTGCAAACCATGCATTTGTACGCCGTTTTTCAGGCTGCAGCTACTAACATGGAGTTGATCTTGTATTCTTACCTGGAGATTTCAACGAAGGTAGGAGCACTTTGTTTCAAATGGGTGGTCGCTAAGGAGAGCGGGAGGGAGGGCTGCTGGACAAGAAGCCAGTGACACACGTTGACAGGGAGAGATGGGATAGTCATTGCTCTAGCAAAACATCTATGTCCCAACCTGCTTGCCAGAAGGAATGCAAGGATTTGTTAAAGATACTCCCGCTGGATCTGACCTGCTTAAATTCCACGCAAGGAAAATTAATACTTTAATCATATACGCCGCGTTGTGGGTTTCTATACTTGCTCTCTAACTGAAAGGCAAGTGCTTCATAGCCTAAGTCCATCTTGTCCAATCTATTGTTAGCAGTGTATTGTGATTCCTGCTGTCACGAGGGATATTCAAAATGACTAACCTCCAAGACTCTCCTGTTACCTTTGAGGATTAAGGAGATTGTTTGGACATATGCCGGAGGTCAAAGGGCAGAAGAGATGGAGTAGGGGAGGCTGAATCGCGGTGTGGTGAGGAATTCCGGGGTCAGGCTGCGGAGAGGAGTAGTTAGCACCACACGGAAATCGCAGCATCTTTTTATGCCATCTGATACGGGGATAGGAAGAGGAGGACATGCGTGTCTGGGGAGCAGATTTTCCGATAAAATGGAAAAGAGCAAATGAGGTTGTCCATGACTGATATGACTGCAGTTAGAACTTGTTAGTCAGGTGTTATTTAAGTTCTTGTCAATGCAATGTCTGCTTTGCATGTCTGTAACTCTATTGTCAAAAACAGTTTTTAAAGTTTGACGAATTTTAGACCTTGTTTATTCTCATTTTTAGTTGTGGTAGATTTTGGTAAGTTGTTAATGTTTTGATTTTTAGTCACATTTTGATTGACTCCAGTGCCATTTAAATATCTGCAAAAAATATTCATGAGCCAAATCTTCAATCTCATTTTGATATTCATCTAACTACAACTGCATTTTTTTTTCTCAAATCCAGAACTGATCAATTGGAACACTAGTAAAACAAATATAACCATATAAATTATGTTAATCTAATCCACAATTTGCAACTATGATTAGACACGACAATGTTCATATTTTGAATTCTATCTATTTCAGTGAATGCATTACATACTGTATTTTTGGTGTTTGTCTCTTGTCTTTTGTTTGTACAAATGTCCTGTTTGTTGGTTTGTCCATAGCTTTGTCAATGGTGGTGGGCTGTCTCGAGTTTCGTGTTATGTCTGTCGTCTCTTTGTACGATAATATATGTTCCCATTCGCGCTGAGTGCATTTACGAAGCGCTACATCTTCTTTTTTTCCAGCCCCTCCTCGCGCTCCGGCTCTAAACCAGGACAAGGGTGCTAACAAGAGGCGAGACCCCAGCGGAGGAGAGCCGTCTCTGGGTCGCGGGGCACGCACCACCTCCGCCACCTCCAGCCCGGACCACAGCGACCACGCCTTGTCCGTCAGCAGCGATTCAGGCTTGTCCAGTACCTCTCTGTGGGCAGACAAACCTACCACCATCTCATCTGGTACCATCCGACCAAACCAGGGCCCCAGCCAGCAGGAGAAGGTCCAGCTGAAGCGCCTTCTGAGCGGGTTCGGACTAGAGGACCCTTCCCTGGATGAGATGGATGATCCAGGTAGTGCGGTACAGCAGGTAGTTCCGGCGCAGGTGCATATGAATGGAGACCCGCGTCCTAGAGAGAGGGAGACGGACATTTTGGACGATGAGGTGAATACTGGTCATGACTTCCATAGCGTGGACAGCTTGGGGACATTGTCATCTTCTTGTCACAAAAGCAGCCAGAACTCTTTATTATCTGATGGCTTTGGAAGTCCTGGCGCGGAGGACCATGTGAGTCAAACCCCAAATCACATCCATAACCCAACCATTGAGGAGTTTGACAGGGGGTATAGTGACAATCGTAGGGCTTGCATGACTTCCAGAAGTAACTCTGTAGCATCTTCTAACCCAAGTACTGCCATGCCCAAACAGCATGTCTACAGACAGGGAAGCTACTCCACGCAATCCTGGGTACGGCAACAGCAAATGGTCGCCGCGCAGAAAATCGCGTACATGCCCGATGATACAAATGAGAGATTTTCAAGCAACAAGCAGCAAGGATCTACCAGCGAACCCCCAGCCAGAGACATAACCGATCCCATTAGGATTACCCAGAAAGAAAACGCAACTGTCAATATTAACAACAACAACAAACGTGATGAGGAGTTCAAATCATTAACTATGGACATTGATAACTCCATCGATCAGCTAAATCAACTTATAATGGACTTGGACCCAACTTTTGTCCCAGTGAAGAGCCAGAACAGCGTGTTAAAGAGGAGTGAGAGCTCGCATGTGAACGGATCCGCTAAATACACCAATGGCAACCGCTTTGGTGATAACAATGAAGCTTCTCTAAAAAGCACGCAGCAGACAGGTAAGCTAGCCTCAAAGTCTGGAATCTATTAGTCACAATTTCCTCTAACAACGTCTATTAAAATTGTAGCTGTAATTAAACAACAGGCTAGCATATTTTCACAATGGAGTAGTTCCGTTGTAGTTATTTCACTTTTTCTTTGTCTCTGTTCTCGTAACCAAACGCACCTTTTCTCCTTGCAGACCTATTTTTTTTCTTTTCTGGGAGAAATAGCAGGGTTGTTGCCAGCTTTTTAAGATGTTTGCTGTGCGTTTCGGCGCGAGAGGGGCCGCCCGGACTTGTCTGTGGAGCTATGTGGTTAAGAAGAAACAAAACAGAATCAGAGCAGTTGTCGTCAGCATATTTAAAGGTGGACTAAAGGTTTAGATGTAACTTTTTGGGGATGACAGTTTACCTCTTGCTTGTCTCTAGAGTGATTATATTGCTTTGTCTGGAATGTTCCACAGTATGGCTTTGAAGTGTATTACATTTATTGAATTATAGGTATTTTTATTATTCAAAAATATCTCAGAAAACATGCATTTTTACTGGGAGCAGGGGGATCGCCTCTTCACAGACTTGACTTGGTCTGTCTTGTCTCCATGGAGATTTAGAAGTTTAATGCCATACTTTGAAGCATTTTAAGCAAAGTAAGCAGTAATGTCTCCATGGAGATAAGCAGGTGATGAACCCAGGATAGAAATGCAGTGTTACACCAAACTAAACCATGCTAAATTAAAGTTAGAAATCTATTATTACATTTTGACATTATTTTTTAAAGTTATGTTTTTACATGTTTTTAGTTCAGAATAAGCAAAAACATTTTAATTTGGCAGTTCATACTACATAAACTACAGTGATTGTGGCTTGGGGGGCCACAATAGAGGGAGGACTTGAGGAATTTCCAAGAGAGGTACAAGTGAGCCCAGAGGGTAAGATTTTTCCTTTTGATTCCAAAGGCATGCCTGTCTGTGCAAATCAGCTACTCCGAGTCATTCCAAGAAACAAAGTGCTGCTCTACTCATTAGCAAAGAGGCGGGAGGAAGTTAAAGTAGGACAATTGTGGAGGTTTAAGAGGAGATAGTAAAAGTTTGTATGGCGTTAAAGATAATGGCTCAGTGACATTGTGTGATAGAATTCAAGGCTAAGGTCATGAGAGCTTTTCTTGATAGTAAAGCTGTATCATTTATTATTATAAGTTGTTAGATGAAAACATATTTTTTAGAAGAATGTGAATCGTATGCATTTACGATCTGCTTTGGGAATTTGTTCAGTGATGGTAGCTCAGTAACTTAGAAATGCACTTAAAGATTTGTTATAATATTGTAACTTCATGAAAAGCATCCCTGCAATTATGTTTTGTTTCGTACAAACATGTTTTAACACACACATCCTGCATATTTATGCTGAGTTCTTCTCTCAAACAGAAAACACTTTATTCTGCCCTGTGATTTCATGTGAGAATACCCACCTTATTCCAACCTGCCCACTTTTGTCTCCAAGTGCTCCTAAATCATGCTTTTGTTGTGTCACTTCCGGTTTCATGGGGATCCCATTCATGTCAGTGGAGAATTTGGGGAAAGTTTTGCATCATAAATATGACATAACATCGATTCATTTGTGAAAAATATTAAATTCTTATGTGCACCAACAAATCAGCACTCCACTGATTCCCTTTGGCTTTAAAACGGCTTTACAGTATGTATTGAACTTAATTGTGATAAAGATCGGCAGCCCCATTCAAAATAATACAACCTGAAACCTGGAATAAGGTGAATAGGAAGTGCTCCACTGTGTTTTTAAACTTCATCCATACACCTTCACTGGAATAATATGGATACTTTCAGCTCTGCAATTTCCATTATCTATTAAATAAAGGGTAAAAGGTAGCTTTTAACTTGAAAACACACACACAACTGTGGGTTTGTTGCATGAGGTAGCCACATTTCAATATGGCTTACAGCTCACAAGAGTAAATTTTTCGTGATATTGGACATTTAAAAGGGTGATGCCAGCATACATATATAATATATTGAAAACGATTATTGTGAGTTTTGTTGTTGGTAGTTTCAAGTTATACAATTATACTGTTATGATATTGATGTGCTGAATCAAATATAATACATAGAAAGAAAATTGTGAAAACGTGATTATCTGGCCCGTACTGTGTTTTTTTTATTTTATATATATATATATATATATATATATATATATATATAAAAATATAAGTTTTGTTTGGCCTAATTGGCAAAGCAATAAGCGTACTTACCCTCTTTTCTTCTTCAATTCCTGTTGCTTAAACTTGGAGCAACACCTCATCATTTCTTCTCAGGCATTTTTTTTATGCACCGTAATTTCCCAAGTTACAAAATATGTTATGTAAAGCTTTGCCTCAACATGTAGTATGGAGTTTTGAAGAGGTTCTGTATTATGCAAAAATAATCCTTGTGAGCTTTTAGCCATGTTAGAATATTGTTACCTCATCCAAAACATACTGTGTTTTGTTTCTTTCACACATGTTTGAGTACCTTGCGTGTTTAGTCTACATCTCCAAAGCTCAAAATGCTCTGTTCCACATTTGTGACATCATGAAGTGGTAGTTTTCAAATTAACAGCTACCTTTTACTAGCCTGATTCATCAGACTGACCTCGCAGCATTGGAATTAGTTCGCTCGGCTCGGCGGTAAGTGGGTACTGTTTTTAATTTAACCAATCACTGCTATTCGTGACGTCGTGACATATGTAGCCGCTAACGGGGCTAACTGTATACTATATTAAGGTTTTCCCAAATCCTGTAGGAAGAAGGGCAATCACGTCTTTCCCCTTGATAAAATTCACCAAACATTCTCTTTGAGGATTTAAAGCCGAAACAATCTCAGGAATCATTGCCAACACAGAATTTCTGGCTCTTCTCTGATTGGCTGGTGCCTGGACTCGCACTTCCAGGGTTCTTGCAAACTGTCTAGTGTATTCCAATTCCTGACCTTCTCACTGGAGAGAAATTTAATTGAGCGGAGGCACTAGGTGGCACCAGCCTGGCTAACCTTTTACCTTTAGTCCTGTACAAATTTGCAATTACTGAGCTGAAATGATCCAAATTATTATAATGAAGTTATATGGAGTTTAAAAACATAGTGGAGCACATGATATCACATGACATCACAAGGTGGAACAGTGTTTTCCGTTTGATAGAAGAACTCAATCCAAATATGCAGGGTTTGTGTTTTAAACTTGTGTGAATGATACAAAACAAAAATCCAGGTATGTTAAACAATATGTATCTGTACCGGGGGTTATAGACAAATTTTTCTCAAACACACTGGAAAAAAAATCTGCTACAACGCCTTTTAAGACAACCGTATTATATGAGTAAGTGGCATGGACCGTGAATCCTGTATGACCCTGTGTGTGTCATCTGTACAACTGGCCACTGACAATGTGCATAATGATCCCGGGGCATTAGCGCTTTAGCACCGTTAGCATTCTTCAGGGCTGAGTGACACCCTGGTGCTGAGTAGCCATACTCTTCATTGCAGTCACAACATTAGACACCCCCCCCTCCCCTGACCAGTGAGGGGAAGAATACTTTGAAAATGTATTTAGTTATAGAATACTGAATACCTGCATTAAAATCTATTTTGTAGCATATGCTGATACATGGTCCAATCAGAGTACTGTATTCTGAATATTTTGAATACTTTCTTGCAGGGTTGCATTTCAATGGTGGTGAAAAAATGCAACACAGGATTAAAAACTGCTGTATATTTGTTTGCTTTGTTATGCATTTATTTATCGCTGATTAGAGAAGGAAAAATCACACTTCCATGCACTACAGGAGCAGTGTTTTATATTGTCTCACTATTTTTCTGTTCAGTTTGAAGATTTAATTGAGTGATCAAGTATCGCCATGTATTCTTATGATTTTTAGAAAAGTAACTGTTCTTAATACCACCAAATGAAAAAGTAACTCTACCAGAATACTTGGCACAACATCTCGTGCTACAAGATCTCGCAAGACAAAACTGCCATAAGATTGTGCACACATGCGAAAAATCTTGTGAGATTTTTTTTCCCCTCATATTTTTACACTTGCCTTGGATCAAAAAAAATGTGTTAATTTTACTAAGAAACTCCTCTTGAGAAGCTTTAATACCAAAAATCTGTGCTAAAATGACAGCAAAACTTTACAATTAAATAAATACAAAACTGCAAAGGAAAAATTGTGAGCTGAATGATACAATTTATTTATTAAAATTTGATCAGAATCTCATCTTGTCTCATTCTTGTGGACCGAATCTTATGACATGTGCCTCGTCCCCTCCCTGCAGAATACAGTTCCTCAAAATTAGTATTCAGGACACGTATTCTCGTTACATGTATTCAGTTACTTCCCAACACTGCCCCCTCGACTCTACTCACCTCCCCCCTCCACTAAAGAAGACCTCCCAGCATTCTTCAGCTGTGCTCTCAAAACACGACTGCGGGCTGCATCTGTATTGACAATCTCACAAACTGTTGACCTACTAGCTTCAAAATGGTGTGATAAGCACAAGTTGAGAATGTAAACTTCTGAAATTATTTTAACAACTTTTTATCATGGGATTTTGACATGTTTTAAGTACTCCTTTGAAGTGGTCCCAATGCTCTACGTGCAAAATAACACCTGGGTACAGTAGATACTATTGTACTACTTCAAAATATTACTTACAGTAGACCAAGAAATGATTGAAGTAAAATTAAAAAGTATTTGGTGTGATCTACTACTCAAGTAAGAATAACTGTCAAGACAAAATATTAAAAAAGCACAAAATAAACCACCCAAATGAGAAATTCGTGTTTGAAATGGCAGCACAAAAAACACAAATGCTCAAATCATTTAATATTGTCAACATAAAAACTAAGAAAACTGCTACACCATTAATTTTTTTTTACTCAAGTCGAAGTACAAGTGTTATGTCTGAGAATGAGAAGCACAAATTCTTTATCAAATTTAGGCAATTAAATGACAAAATACACCTAAATGTACCACCCATCATGACTTGTCAATGTTGTGAAAATAATTATAAATTTTTAGTAACTTTCAAATTTAAATAATCACAACAATGCCATTAGAGGTGATAAGTCAATTTTCTTATTTAACTTTTTCACATATACTAACAAAATAGGACTCAATTTTTGAATAAGTACTGTCTGACCATTCTTCTTTCTCCCTGTGTTCTTTACCAGCTGTCCAGTCCAGTGAGAGCCGTTTGGGAGTGTCACGGAGCCTGAGTCGCCAGGACAACGATGTCACAGATCACCAAGAATTCTGCACCTCGGGGTGGGCCGGGAACGAGGACTATAGGAGCCAGAGGACATACTCACCTTGTGTACCACAGTCTCAGGTACGTCTAAAACTGGACACAAATACAAGCAAATAAGGTTGGAACAATTGAATAAATACAGATAAAATGCATGTGTGTGCTTTAAAATGTCACTCGTATGAAAAAAGTCTGTAACCTAGAATAAGTGCAGTTTAGCAGAATATTTTGATCATATATTTAGGAGAATTGTTCTAGTGTTTCTTAATCCAGAATAGTTACACAATGCAGATTTAAAATTTCACTCACAAGTACTTTATTGTTTTTCATTGATCTGTCTTTGTTTTATAAATTATTCCAGCATATATTTTAGAGTCTAGGTAATTATAGAGAGTTGCAGCCCTATACTACACATTACCATAGGTTTTATTAGCTAAATTTTTGTGGGTGGCATTCAGTCTATGAAAATGTATTATTCTTTTTCAGAGCATGTTGTACAGGAGTGACAGTACAGATTACAGATCACAGGGTCCAGACATAGATAGTGGGGTCGAAGCAGGAAGTGACATGACTCCCCCCACTCCGGCGTTTCCCATCTCACCTCCCACTCCTTATGGTAAATGTTCTATCCCATGTGTCATTTTTAGACTGCTGCTGTGAAAATTATTTAATATTTAACTTTGTTTGCAGTGAAAAACATGTCTGAATTTAATCTAAGACAAACTCCATCTTTCAACATGCATTCCTTTGGCTACAAAAGTGAACACGGTAAGCTTATATTTTATGTAAGTTGGATCACACTGTTTTACAAACGTTTTCAATGAATGCATGCAATTCTGAGACTGCTATTGGCTAAGAATATCTCATTAGTATTATTATAGTATTTAGTAGTCAGTTTTTTTGTTAAAGGGGCACTATGTAACTCGGAGAAGATATACCACATCACAATAAAAACAAATCGAAACATAAATAATCATTATAAAATTAAAAAGAGAGCGAGAGAGAGACATTAAATTAGAGAGAAGAGTACGGAATGAAAAATGAAAACCTTTCAGTCATATGCAGCTAAACCAAACTGTTTTGAGCCTGGATTTAAACAGTGTCAAAATAGAGGTCTGTCTCACATCTTCAGGAAGACTATTCCAGGTTTAAGCTGCATGAATCTGTAACGCTGACTCCCCATTTTTAGTCCTGACTCTGGGCACCAGCAGGAGGCCGGTCCCTGAGCTCCTCAGAGTGCAGATGGTTCATATGGCACTAACATGTCACAGATGTACTTTGGTGCTCAGTCATGGACAGACTTGTACACAAGCAGAGCTGCTTTAAAGTCTATTCACACAGGAAGCCAGAGCAGAGAACTGAGCACAGGACTTGTGTGTGTGTATTTTCTAGTTCGAGTCAAAGGTCAATAGTAATGTGAGTGAGGTTGCCTACCCACAGATCTGACCTGTAACTTGTCCTGGAGCCATCATTTGCATGTCTCTATGGACATGGTTTAGTTAATGTCATACTGTGGAATAATCTAGGGCTAGGGCAATCAAGACATCACAACTCAATTGAGACAACAGGTGGTGTACCCTTCACTAAAAAAGTTACTCATTGCTCCTTTGAGTAGAAATTTAGTTTGTTTGTGTGTCTGTCTTATTAAATTACTTGCTTTTTCAGTCATTTTAATTTCATTTTCATAATAGAATTATGAAAAATTATTATGAAAAAAATGTACATACCATTTCAGTGCTATGACTGTAAGACACATTGGCGATTCAAGTGATGTACAGAACAATCAAATTCAGAGTAAGTTGAGAATGAGAGAAAAGAGACTTTTTTTTTCTTTTTTTTTTTCTTTCATGTTTGCCCTTTGACCTTCATGGTGGATTCTCTCTCATTAGAAATGCACTATACCAGGTTTCGTGGCTCTACGTTTATAATGGTGACATTGTTAAAGGATTTTGAGTAGTTTGGCCAATTGAGACAAAACAAAGAAGCCCCATAAAATTCTTAAGCAGAGAGATTCCTAACCAGTCCTGACCCTTAATCCTGGCTTGTGGAAGGATTTTACTGTCTACGTTTCTGCCATATATATACATTTAGCATTTTTGTGGTTTGAAGGTGGTACACGCCCTGGGTAGAACATTGTTGGTTCCCCTATTGTCAGCTTTGATGCATGGTCAAAAATGCTTTCATGGTTTCTGTGTTTATCTAAATCTAACATACATATGCTCTTGTAATTGTAGATTTGTTGTTGTGCTAATTCTAAGGATCTGTGCCACATGAGATGCACCATTCCCACCATAAACTTAACTTCCAAACTTGACTCTTAAGTTGCCATAGGGATGAGTTGTACATGTAAAGTTGGAGGAGCCTGGGAACCCTGCTGCCTCTTGCTAGCTTAAGTCTTGTGGTATTACCATGGTTACTGCGGTGTCTATGTCTCACAATAGGAGAGACAGGGAAGACATTCTTTGGGCTACTTTCCAACAGTTTATCAGTGTTGACGTGGTTGTAAGGATTATTGTAAGGACTAAAGTGTCATGGTTATTAATGTGTGTTGGTGTACTTTTAATTTAAATGGGTCATGTAACTTTTTTTATGTAACTTTTCTGATGGAGAGCCTGCCACTTGTTTGTTTCAGTGCAAAGATCATTTCTTTGCCTGGAATGTTCCACAGTATATCTTTAAACTTTTCTGTCTTGCATGTATTCAATTACATTTTTTTTCAACATGGTATCAAAATAGCTTGAAAATCATGCATTTTTACTCTGAGTGGTGTCCTCTCTCCACAGATCTGACTTGTAACTTACATGAGTGGTGTCGTGCGTGCTTCTCCATCAGATAGATTACGTTAATACCGTACTGTGAGACATAGGAGACGTGGCAGAAAAGTTACATAGTGCACCTTTAATGGCTCAATAAAAAATGTTAATTGTGCTTAGACTCACTGAAGTTTGTATGTTTTAGGTTGAATTTACTGGTGTGGTTCTAGTGTGTGTTTTTCTATGCTAACAACAATGGATACATGATGGATGGGTGGAAAAAATTACCACAGTGTTTTCATGTAGTTTGTAACATATCTGTAAAATAATTCATTTTCCTTCTTTTGTTTTGGGTAAAAAGTGGGACATAATAACCTCATCAGGAATATTAGTCCCCATAATAAAGCAGTTAGTTTGGACATCACAGAACATTTGTACACGCTAAAAATACTTACTCTGAATATGTCTTTGTTCCCAGAGCCCCGGGGGTACTCTGAAGTCGACTCTTTGGCGGAGCCCTCCATCAGCTGTCACAGAGCACTCACACATTCCACATCTGTCGTCGGGACACTTCAGCGGACAGACAGGTACAAAGATGCCCCTCCTATCATTACTTATACCCACAATGCTTCACTGTATAGGGCAGCAGCAGCTCAGCTGGTACACACAATCACCCACTATGGCAAAAGGTGATAGTACGATCCCCTCTACTGACAATACATACTGCTGTTGTGCTGTTGTGTTTTTGGGCAAGACACTTCACCTGCTTTGCCTGCCATGGACTTATGTTAGATTGCAAGTTCCTATTACTAAATGCAATCTTTTCTGCTGTAGAGTACTAAAAGAGGAACTGAATTCTTGTTATATGATTTGTCTTAATTATTGAGCTGTACCGAGACAATCCTGCCAGTACATGTGGTTGAGAGCAGAGTTCTCATTTTGGAGGAGGAAAAAAGATACTTTTTAATGTTAAAGGGACAGTCTGGAATTTTGGACATAGGATCTCATTTTCTAGTTAGCCAGAGTGTTGGAGATGTGTGGAGACATCTTTTAAATATTCCATCCAGTCCTTGTATTTGCAGAGGTCACTGGTGCTAGGCTAGCGCATGTCAATGGCCATAGTTATTCTGCCAATAAAAACAGTCTCACCCACTCCACAAAACACCCAAAGCAAAACAATTATTACACCAGACTGTCGATGTGAATGTCTGTGTCTATAGTATAATGTCTGAAATAAAACTAACCTTGTATTGCATGAATCGTCGCATGTTGAGGGACTTTTTTCTCAGCAGTAGCGGAATTTTACTTTGCCGGTAAGATAGGTGAGAGGTGATATCAGTCCACTGCTGCCAAGCTTTCTATCAGGAAGTACAACTCACTGCTGCTCAGACATAAATCTTTCAAATGCAAGATTGGTTTTACTTCTAAAATTATTCTATCGACTCAGACATTCATATCCACAGTCTGGAGTTATAATTGTTTTGCGTCGTGTGATTTGTGGAGTGTGTAAGACTGTTTTACTGGCAGGCTAACTATGGCCATTGACATGTGCTAGTCTAGCACCAGCGACCTCTGAAAATACAAGGACTGGATGGAATATTTTAAAAAGTTTCTCTACATGTCTCCAACACTCTGGTTAACTAGGAAATGAGGTCCTATGTTCAAAATTCCAGACTGTCCCTTTAAAAGCTTTTGTTTACGTAAAGAATATAACAAAAAAAATATGCTGAAAGAATTCATATTGGAATATTTTGACAATACTGACAGTACTCCAGTAATTAATACCATAATTAACCTCATAGCATATAGTACTGATGGAAGTAATTGTCATACAGAGCCATTTGGACATTGTTGCATCCCTAGCCTAGAGTTTTTAAAAAATATATAAAAATATATAAATAATTGTTGCTATATTACATTAATCCTTTTCCTATTCTTATCAGCTCCTCTATAAGTCCACCTTGGCCCGAGCACCCAGCCCTGACCCGCCACGCCTCCCTGAACAGCTACCCCCATTCCTCCGCCCGAGACCCCCCACTCCCCCACCATCACGCCGTCGCCCTGGACTACAACCACCACTCACCCCCTCTCCTCCACCACCCCCACATCCACCCGGCCCCCAATGGCCACAGCTCCCCGCGCAGCAGCCAGCGCAGTCGCATGGCCCACTTCGCCCTCAGCCGCTGCCCTGCTCAGAGCTTCGAAGAACAAGAGGATTCTGGGCTAAGCTACGGTATGGACTCAACTATGATGGCGAACACGGGTAGAGACAGGAACCTGCTGACGATCATGGAGGGGCACCACCAGCCTCCGCTCCTGCCCGAAAAGAAGAGGGTGTCGGACGGGGAGCATTCTCTGGGCACGGCCTCTCCAGCTCTGAGCGGGTTTTCCAGTCCTCACAGCGGGAGTTCACTCAGTATTCCCTTTCCCAATGTTCTACCAGATCTTTCCATGCAAATGTCTGGTAATGCGTCACCACTGCCAGGTAAATGTCATAGGTGATAGATTGATTGGTTTATGCATAACCATAATGGGAGTTAACTTTTTTATTTTTTATGTTTATTTTTTGTTTCTTTGTTTGTAGATGTGTTGGCGAGCAAGCAGGTCACAGTCAAATTTGTACAGGACACATCCAAATTCTGGTACAAACCTGACATTTCAAGAGATCAAGGTATGTTACAATATAGTTTCTTTAAACTGTGATCGGTCTGTCCAGAATTTTGAAGCACGATAGTTTGATATAGAGAAATATTGCGATAAATTATAATACTGAAAATACTTTATGCCACTGTCACAAGGCACTAATCCAGTAAACCAACCAATAAATAGATGGTATCACAAAAAAACTTTATCTGCAATCAATAAATGTCAGAATTAACCAATAATTAGCCACAGAAGTTATGGGAAAATCTCTCCACTATTGCAAAGACAGTGTACCCATGATAAATACTGAGCTCAAAGGTGTATTGTTCCAGCTTTCATATATTGAACAATAAACTGATATTATGGTGACAGGCCTGCTTTGTTATCTAAATAATTGCTGCTGTTACTTCAGTTCAAACTATTAATCTTGGTTTGAGTATTTAAGGGATCATTTTGATGTGTTTATTATGATTATATTATTATTTTATTAAAAAATATCTGCCAGTGCTGTAATTTCTTGCTCAGACTGCACTTGGAGAGACTGTAACTGCTGTATTGGAGCTATGTTCTTGTGTTAAAATGAAGTCAAAACAGACTTCCAACAGAATGAATCTGGAGCAGCGCAGCCTCTACTGCAATGCTCTGAGCTCCTCTCTTTACTTTAAATTATTTGGAGTTCTTGCGGTCTCTTCACCGCAGTATCTTGAAATCTTAATTAGATTCAATTAATCATGGCCTTGAAAGTAACTACTTACATCAAGATTTAAACTACTAAGTATTTAATTAATTTTGTACGTATTGCGAGATTAAATTTTTTATGTTAAAAGAAACTGGACTTTCTTCTTCTATATTTTCAGCTATTTCAGTTCTAAAGGATAAGGAGCCTGGTTCATTTATTGTGAGGGACAGTCACTCTTTCAAAGGAGCTTATGGACTGGCAATGAAAGTGGCAACACCTCCACCCTCTGTTCTCCAGCAAACCAAAAAAGGTGAGACCAACTCAACAAACCAAGCATATATACCCCGTCTTTGCCATTTGAATTGCCTCTTATTTCATACATAAATATCAGTAGGCCAGAAGCAGAGATGTCCTGAAATCACACAAAGTCCTCTACAGTTTCAGTCCACTACAGTTTCAGTCCACTGTGTTGGTGGAACCTGAGAGTCTGACCTGGTGTTTGTGTGTGGGAGCATCTCTCCTGGGCATGGAGGCCACAGAGCGAGCAGACCCTATTGCCCGATAGTCTTAGATGTTCAGCTAATGTTTCAGCCCATAACAAAAGCTGTGCTGGTCCATAAGCCAGCTCTGATCCAGCCACTTTCTCCTGGGAAACTTTTGTCATACATAAACCTGATCAGGTGCTATCCAGGGACTTTCAGAAAAGGCTTTTTAGGTTTTTGGTGCAGTTTTAGTCATGCAGCCTCTTTTCATTTGTCATATTTTCATATAAATAAAAGGCATGTAAAAGCGATTTGAATAAGAAGTTTGAATAAGAAAACCTGCAAATGTTCCACATGGATTTTAGAATTATGAAAAATTAGGGCCATTCCCATAGCAATTAACAATTTAAAACAAAATACTCTATTTTTTAATAGCTAAATGTCCTTTAACAAGCCAACAATTACAGCTAGTATATCATTTTAATTATGCTTACATTATAGAAATAAACACACTTTCAAGCCACAACAATAAGGCACAATCCAAAGTAAATATTACAGGCATGTCCACTGTTGCAATGCTATACATCATAACACTCTTAGCCAACATTTACGGTCTTTTTACAGCCATTGCTATTGTCTTACTTACTTTAAAATAGCAGAGCTGATTTGCCCCAGTGATGAAACGCAATTCAAACCAATATAAAAGTTTAATTGAGTAATTGCGAAGGTTCAAATATGAACTGATACGTAATAATAAGTAGAGGAACTACTAGTCTAAAGACAGGACATTTTGTTCTTAGCAGAGAACATTCTATTATCTAAATTATCTAACTCCAGCCTTTGGGAATTGACAATCGTGCCAAATCAAATCAATGTTGATTAGATTCCAATAAAATGATGCACAGATGGAGCCATAATTGCTAGTTTACTCTTAACTGAACAGATCCAGTGAGAATTTTCCACATCAGCAATCACCATGTAGTTGTTTAAGTCCTCCCTGCCCAAGCCCACCCTGGAGTTCTCCCACCTGCCCTTTTGTTTGGACCCACTGGCACCTGTAGTGACATCATGACATGCTCCTTCACGCTCCGATCCCTGTGCGTGTGAAACCCAAGCCACCTTAAGGAGACGCTATTGTGTCAAGGCATTCCTAACTCAACCCCCCGAGCCCCCCATAGCAGCTCTGTGTATTCATAATCCCATTAGGCCTTTCTAGTACAAAACCAATGGACTAACTTGTTTCTCATTTAACAGTCCTGTACCTGATTTTAATTTATTTTAATCAAAATAAAATATATAATAACTAACAGTTACTGTCAGGGTCACCTGTTTTCATCCAGTCAGAAACATTGTTGCTCTGCCATAGTAGGTCAGCAGAGATTGGAGAGTGGGCGGGGCTAAAAGTTCAAACTAAAACATGTTAGGAACAGGCTCTTTAAATTTCAGGAGATAGTTTTAGTTAATGCATACACTGGACCATGTTTAAGATATGTATATGCTTTTCGACAGGAGGTGATCTGTCAAATGAGTTGGTGCGCCACTTCCTGATTGAGTGTACACAGAAGGGAGTCCGATTAAAGGGTTGTCCCAATGAGCCCTACTTTGGTGAGTGTCCATTCTCCCACACTGGCCATACAGTCTGGTGCCCTCTCTGCTGGTGTTGGGTCTATTGGCTTACAGCAGTGCCCTCTAGTGGGGGTTTGGCATGACTACCCAAATGTTCTATTTAACATCACTGGCACTGTTGAAATAAACTGGTAAACGAATGACAGATTTTTAACATGTATAATGACAAATACTCTGTTTGTATGTCTTTGTTAACATAGGAAGCTTAACTGCATTAGTGTGCCAACATTCAATCACTCCTCTGGCTCTGCCCTGCAAACTCATCATACCAGACAAAGGTGAATATGAAATGATGAAATAGTTCTAATTATTCATTCACCATGGGCTTATAAATGTGACTCAAAAAAACAACTGGTGACACATTTAATCACAGAATTTTCATTGTTTAGATCCATTAGAAGATGTCGTAGAGAGTACGTCTCCATCAATCTCCAATTCTGCTGCTGAACTGTTAAAACAAGGCGCAGGTATTGAAAATCAGTATATTATCAAAATCATTTTAGTAGTGACATGGCATGTTAGTCTGTTGTAACTGAATGTATGATGATGGTCTGTCCACAGCGTGTAATGTGTGGTACCTGGGCTCGGTAGAGATGGAGTCGCTGACTGGCACGCAGGCCGTGCAGAAGGCCACCACCATGACACTGCACGCCAACCCTCCTGTTATCTCCACTGTGGTGCACTTCAAAGTGTCCTCCCAGGGCATCACACTCACGGACAACCAGAGAAAGTAAGATGTCAAATACTGTCAAAACTCAACACAAATTTAGAAATGAAATAATGATGTTTTTATTGTTTGTTTGTTTGTCTTAGGCTTTTCTTCCGGAGGCACTACAATGTAAATACAGTCATATTCTGTGCGTTGGATCCTCAAGACAGGAAGTGAGTATCACTTAAATATTTCAACTTAAAATATTTGTACAGCCAAATTACATCACTGCCCTATTTTCAACTCCTGCAGGTGGAAAGTAGATGGCTACCCCTCAGCAAAGTAAGTAAACGACTATTTTCTGCTGTGTTGTTCTGCTATAATTTCACATTTAACAGCTATTTTTAAAAGGACATGGCCAATTTAACACAGATGACAGTGCTAGTGTTAACCACAGTGCTTTACTTTGCAGAATCTTCGGCTTTGTGGCCAGGAAAACAGGCACTTCTACGGACAATATCTGTCATCTGTTTGCGGAGCATGACCCAGAGCAGCCCGCCAGCGCTATTGTTAACTTCGTTTCCAAGGTGATGATTGGGTCACATAAGAGTAAGTAGAGCGGACGACTAAGCAAAAAAGACTTGTGGGCCAAAATCCAGGGCTGAAGATAGAAATACTTCATTTTTATATTGTTCAAAATATTCAAGATTTAAAGTTGTTATTTTCTGTAATGTTGTGTTGCCATGAAACTAACTGGTTTGTACATATTGTTGCCTATATATTCTAATGGTAGCTACTAGAACCATTTATTGTTGCATGTTTATTTTTTCATTTTATTATTTAATCTAAAATGTTTTAACTATAACTGTTCCGGTGATACTGTTAGTAGGTTGTAATCCTCACCGATGACCATTTTAATCCACAGAAATGTTAATGCCATACTGTGGAACGTTCCAGGCAATAAAACCAGGATTATACTATGCAATGTAAAGGTTTATTTCTGAATCATTTGAACCATCATGTCGTGTAGATTTTTTTAAAAGAAATCTTGTCATCTCAGTCATTGTTATGGTATGTGAATATGACCACTTTTATAGCGGCCAGTAATGTGTTTGAATGAATGTGCATCATATAAAAATATTTAAAGTTAAACCCTAATATATTGACTTACACATAAGAACAAATGAGTACTTTTTGATAAGAACACATAAGACAACTTTTTTCATATATTTTTTACAGTGTATTAGTATTGCCCATAGGCTCGTGATGGGGGGGGGGTGTTCTGCATATATGTCTATGGCAGAATGCCCAACAGTTACTATGGTGAACACATTAGCCAACACTGTCAAATAAGTTTAAAGAAGCTTGTGACTGTCTGTTTGAGAGACTTGTTTAATAGCACAAATTATCGCACGTGTTGTAGTTCTAACTAAGCTCTTTCTGATCAATTGTGTTAAAATAAAGCTCAGATTTAAGCCTAACAAAGCCTCAGACAGAGCAGTGCCTACAGTTAACATCACATCCCCAGGGAACGTTGATGACATCAGCTGCAAAATATAAATATACACTGTTGCAATGCATTTTAGTTTTTAATATGCTTTTAAGTGAGGTCGGTTGACTCATACAATACAATAGTGCAGGGACAGGACTACATTTCCCATCATTCCCTCTGATCTTTGCTCACTGAATTGTATGTGATAATGGCCATATGTATTCTTTTGTACTGGGCACCGTCATAAAATTCAATTGTTATTTTAATTCTTTGTACCTCACAGTTACCGTCTTCAACAATATTGTGCCTCTGTTAATAACTTGTGATAACATTTGTATATTGACCAAGAGTTGTTTGATCTTATATAATGTAAATAAACTGGAAACAAGATGGGATTTTATTGTCATTATTTCTTACATAGTATAAGTAATATTATTCATTATATGCAGGTACATGTGAAATGTGTAATTATGTTTGTCAAAAATTTTTGAATTGAATTATTTCGCATCCCCTTCAAAATATATGTGTTCTTGCTCCTGAATACCTTATATAAACTTTTAGCAAGATTTTGTAGATTTGTTTTTAGACGTTTTTAGATTTATATGAGCAAAAACTAAATAACATCCCTATTGCATGGTCTACCTCAGTATCTCAGAACTACCCAGAATACAAATAGAATACCCATAAAATATTCTATAACAACAATATTGGGCAATGCTAATCTATTTAATGTCAGTTTTATTTATAAGAAAAAGCAAACCGGTCTAATGCATGTCACTGTTACAACAAAATTATATATACATAAAAAAAAAAAAATAAATAAATAAATAAAAAGGAACATTTTCCATATGGCCAGCAGAGGGCACTACCATTGCACAAGTAGAGCCTCACTACTTCATGCCAGTCTTTTTTTTTTTTTTTTTTTTGGTCCCAATCTAAACACTTATGCAAAACGACTAGGCTAAAGCTGCATCATGGTCCAATTTTCTTTACACGTGTAACACCGTATAGACCTGAGACCAGTAACCACCTGCAGCTTTACGCACAAGCCCGGACAGGCCGCTGTGATGGGAGCGGAGGCCCGGCGCGGTGCTGCAGGTGGTGGAAGTGAAGAATTCCCGGGGAGGGCAGGAAGGAAGCGGACCCAGGTGTGGGGAGTGCACGGTGGCTGCCTGCGTGCTCCTCTCCTCTCTGTTATTTACGGTGTGTGCGCTGCAGTGGAGCCGTGCGCACAGGGCTGCAAGAAAAGAGGTTGGGGAAAGTCCAAAAAGGCGCGCAGCGTGATTAGAGCACGGGGGAAGTGTCACAGAGGCCGTATTTCACTGGGCTAATAACAGGGAGAGGGGAACAGGCATTTCATCACAGAATTGTCTTTACTATCGAAAACATGGTGAGGAGGATGGTATTTAGTTTATTTGCTGTTACCTCAACAGTTAAGCTTAACTAGGCCTATTTGTCTATTTTACAAAAACCTGTAGTAATAGTTTAACTAATAAGGAAAAACGGTTACGTTTGTTAAGAATGCTTAAAAAGTAAAAATATTAACTATTAGCCCATTTACTTCCAAATTTAATATCCTGCTAAATTACAGTTAATTCTAATATAATCCTCTGTCAGATTTGATTTTGCACTCTAAACTAGAGATACACAGCTGCAGATTTTTCAATAGAATATCAATACTTTGACCAGTCTGGCTGCTGGAGATCTTATTGATTGACTGGAATGTTCCATAGTATGGCATTAAAGCTGTCATCTGTAATTAGATTGGTCGACCTGCCCATGTTGTATTCTCACTCTACATTATTTTTGTCTGACAGTCTGGCAGCTTTGGCCTGACAAGAAGAGCAGAGAGCACAGGTGAAACTGAACATAGGACTGGTGTGGGGAGGGGGAACAGGTTTCACATCTGCCATCTACTGGTAAAAAAAAGAAATCTCATTAACTTGCAGTTGGAAGCTTTAAACTCATAGATTGACTTAAATAAATTTTACTGATCGCATTGATTTCATCAAAAGTTTCCGCAGATCTGACCTGTAACATGCTTTGGTTGCATCACTTGCTTTTTCTATACTGATAAGTTATTTGTAATGCCATACAGGGGAACATTCCAGTCAAAGCAATTCAATTCAAATGCAGAGATTAAAAAATCCAGCATGTTTCTGGAGCAGAGCCGATAGCTGTTACCAGTGTTAGTACAAGCACATCCCTATTTAACCCAGAGAGTCTTCAGTATCACACACATCCCAGCCCAGAGCCACTCTGCCACAGTCACTTCTAAGAGCCCGACCTGACAAATCAGCCTCATATCCAAACACCATCGGGGGAAAACCTTTGATTTGATTGTTGACCACAAAAACCCTACGGTCCACCATTTTACACTGTGCTCTTAATGAGAAAGCCGTCTCTGCTCTCATCTCTCTCACAACAACAATAGAAGGTGCTAAAAATAGATGATGCATTCAGATGACCACACTGAGGCCCCTGTATGATGGCTTCAGTTCACGGGCAGGTTGCGTAACAGAATTGTCCATTGTGCGGAGCTACCATTAGAGGTGTTTCTCATGCATTGGCGTGACCTCTGGGGAATGAGGGGTGACCCAGTACAACTTTGTTTGGGTCCAGCGTCCAAATGAGATGTTTATTTGGATTCAGTTTTGTAGGCCATCATAACAGAAGGTCTAAGATTAGATGACACAAAAATAAGTAAATCAAGAGACTCATGGCAGTGGACAGTAGTATCATTACATAAAGGTCCTATATTATGTGAAATTGACTCTTGTGAACTTTAAGCCATGTTTGAATGTTGTTATCTCATCAAAAACATACCTGGAGTTGTGTTTTGTTTCATTTTCATTTATGTGTTTTGTTTTATTTATGTAACCCTTTATTATTTGTCTATCAGCATGTCCAAAGCTCAGAATGCTCTGTTCCACCTTGTGATGACATGTAGTGGCAAGTAAACATCACCCTTTTACCTTTAGTTGAATAGAGATTGACATTTCCAGGACTTAAATAATCCAAATTATTCTAGTAATTCTAGTACACAAAATATTTTAGTTTATGCCAAAGTTGTTTATATATTTAAGAGAAGAAAGCAGAATGAGCTCCTCACTCCATCACTTACAAAAAGGCATCCCAGGTTCAGTTGTTATTTCATGATTGTTTTTAAGTAGTTGTGGCTATTTCTTAATCAATAAGAATCTCTATAGTCTCAAAAATTGGCAAAATCCTTTGTGACAGAGATGAGGACTACAAGGCATTTTAAGTCAAATTTTTTGCTGCAATATGGAATAAATGTTCTATGTGGAGATGTTGCATTGTTAGCCTTATTCATTAGCTGGTTTCATTTCATGGAAACCATCTGACATTGCAGCATTGGATTAATTTGCTTGAAGGAGCAGGTGCTTTATTTATTTAGCCAATTGCTGCTATTTGGTTGAGATGTATGTAATGCACCAGAATGCTCAGTGGTGTCTAAGTAATTGCCGGCTTCACAGTTCTTGGCTGATTGGCTGGTGCATGGTCTACAACTTCTGGGGTTCTTGCAAACCGTTTAGTGTATTCTGATTCCTGACCTAGTCGCTGGAGAGACAAGAAATTGAGCGGAGGCCCTAGGTGGCGCCAGCCTGGCTATTGCATTGTGGTGACCTCTGGGGAATGAGAGGTGGCACAATAATAAAGTGATAATGACTGCTCTTTGTGACTGTGTTTGGGCTGAGCCTCCAAATGAGTTGTTTATTTAGATTCAGTTTTATAGGCCATAACTTTGCACAAGGTCCTGGGGTCTAATGAGGTTATAGGATATTAAAATTACCTGTAAATCACGGAGACTAAACCATAGATTATTGCTTGAAAATAGTTTTCAAACTTGTAAAGATTTTTTTATTGATAGTAGTAATCAAAAACTCTTCAAAACTCTATCCTTGGTTTTCAGAATGATGGCAAATTAGGACTGCAGCCATAGCAAATAAAGATCTAACAGTAAATATTTTATCTATTGAAAGGGGTAAAAGAAAAGCCAAAACTGTTGAATATGTTTATTTACGTATATTAACGTGCAAATGCAATGTTGATTTTCCTCGTAACACTTGTATTTATTAATTTTTTTCACAATTACAAAACCATTTTAAATTATGCCAAAGATGTTTATGTTTACATATTGTTTTTTCATTCTTCATTATCAATCAGAAAACAGAATGACCTCCTCCCTCATCAAAAACCTTACAAAAAAACCCCAACTAGACCAATTCCATTTTGACAGAGACAAGGACATTTTGAGTAAATCTTCTTCAAATTTGTGGCTGCATAAAAATGGTCATTGTGAGATGGAACAACTTCTCAATGTGCAACTTACTGAAATAATAAAATCCTTCACAAGTAAATCTTCTACTTCTAAGATATTTCCATCATTAAAACTCTATTAACTCTCACATTTCTTCTTTAAAGGGAGAACTGTGAGCTGCCAATCCGTCTGGGAGTCCATGTGCTTCCCCGGGGATAGAACCCACAACCTCCTGTCTGTGAGGTAAGAGCACCATGTTCTCTCTCTGTTTGATCATTATGGCTTTCCTTGTTTTTATGAATGGTCAACAAAAAGAACAATAAAACGCGGAACGCCAAAACCGCGACTTGGACTTGTAGACAACCCTCACTTAAGACAAATTGCAGAGTTCACATGAAGGGGTAGTGCCTCCTCCACAACTTTTGATGAGGTTTTGTGTCCAACAGACATTGACGCAACTTTATAAAGAGAAAATTGCATAAAGCGTTGTCTTCCCTGTCATTCAGTTTGATGAAGTTATGTGGGATGGAAATGTATGGGTAGAAGGAAGGAAACAGGCTGCAGAGTGTAATTGGACAATGTGTTAATTTTTGCCATAGTTTTTGTCAGTGTCATATTTCTATTGATGGAAAATGTTGATATTTTTGACTTTTAAATGGACTTTTTACAGCTGTAAAACATGTTGTAGTAATTTCTCCTCACCATTTACTTGGAATGAATCATGCATGTTTGAGCAATGTTTAATTGGTTATTTTCAAGACGCCGTATTGCCGGTCAACTCCCTTTTCACTAACACTGGTAAAGTCTGGCATTCAACCACTGCTCTGTACTTCATTCTCAAATTTTATTTTCTTAAACTGTGATATGTGTAAGTACAAATGGAAAAAAGAAATCAGCTGCTCGCTAGCGTGCTCTGCAGCTATGCAATGTCATGTGGTAATGCAGGAAGTTCTTCACTGTGTTTTTAAACTCCATACATCTTCACTTGAATTATTTGGATCATTTCAGCCTTTGGCTTGCCAATCTCTGACCTCAAGGTAAAAGGTAGTTGTTAACTTAAAAACTACCACTACATGGCGTCACAACATGGAACAGAGCATTTTGAGCT